CCCCTGGGTGGGAAAGCAACCTCAGAAAAACGCGCTCCGGTGTCCGCTGCGGGCGGCTCTGTCCGAGCGTGGCAAGCAACAGCAGAAGCAAACGGGGCTCGTTGCCTCTTTTCCTGCCGCGGAGCTCCTCCGGGAGGCTTTCCTCAACGCTCGAAGGCTCTTGCGTGGCTGGAAGTCGCCCGGAGCGGTGCTGTGCCGGCAGGGATGGACGCGAAGCCTCCGCCAGCCTGGAGCTGGGTAGGGAACCGAGCCGGGGGAGGGAGATCCTAGCCGGGCTAAACTCTCGCTGCTGTGCGCTGGTGAGGACAGAGCGTTCGATGCGGGTCCTGCTGTTACAGAGGGGTAAGAGACCGCTGCTAAGGATGTGTCTGAGTCAGCAAGGAAGATAAAAAATAGCAAGCAAGAGATAAAAGCCAACTCTTTCTCTGTCAGCAGGATGAGTACGGGGCTGGGGTGGCAATCCACCCAGGCTGCCCAGGGGGGCTGTGGAGTCTCCTTCTCTGGAGATATTCAAAGCCCACCTGGCCGAAGTCCTGTGTAACATGCTCTGGGAGAACCTGCTTTAGCAGGAGGGTTGGACTGGGTGATCTCCCGAGGTCCCTTCCAACCCTTGCGATTCTGTGGCTTGCTGAGCACCCAGACTGCCCTGTGCTGGGCAGGTGAAAGTCGTGAGGCTCCAGGAGCATGGATGTGGGGCGTTTCTCTGTGGCTTCCACCTCTCGCGTCCTTCTAGCTAGAAGACATTGAAAGTGTGAGCCCTGGAAACACTGAAATGCAAATTGGAGGAAGATTAAACCAAACCCAAACCACATAACCCAGGGCCCCTTAAACTGAGGCTTTAAGCGAAAGCCCTAAAAGAGGATTTGGTATAACTGTTTAAAGCTAACTCAGAGCTGCCTTCTCCGCTGGGTTTAAGTTGGTTTATCAAGTTAAGATCAATTAGCTCCAAATAAAGCGTAAATAAGATTACGTGCTTGTTGGTACAACTCTGGATGAAAGTATAGGTAAAAGACGGGAGCGCTTGGACTCCCTGAGCTCTCCCTGCAGCCTGTCAGCCTCCTTGCTGACTGCAGAGCCGTCTCCCCCCTGGGTCTCTCTGCTCTTCGGAGCACCCTTTCAGTAGCTGAGAAATTAAATTCCTCTTCCTGGCAACCCTCTGCTGTTCCATTAGGTGATTTCTGAGTCTCTCTTCTCCCTCCTGCATTTTTAATCTCGGCAAGGGCTGTTATGCAGAGCAAGGAGCTTTAAAAGCAACGGGACGGCAGCAGCGTCCCCGGGGGAGGCCGGGGAACATAATGGTCAAGTTCTGCTGCTGAACTGGTTCTGGCTGGGAGCCCCCAGCACGGGGGGAGGATCAGAGCTCCCCCATTACCACGCTGAGCACAGTGACTCATGTCACATTTGGCTCCTTCGCTTCCCTCCTTCCCCAGGGGAAGAATCATGTGCACTGAAGCGTGGGGTTGGGTTTGGGGTTTTTTTGGTAGGTTCCCCTTGCCCTCCTCCTTACAGCTCAAATTGGAAACAGCAGCAGCCTGACCCAACTCCAGCGAGAGTTCAGTTACTCAGAGACATCTCAGAGCGGGCCTGGGTCTCTTGCTGTCTATCCCAAAACTCTTCTCCGCTCTTATTAATGCTTTCTGTGCTCTCCGTGTGGAATCGGAGGGCTGAAATCTTGCAGAAAGTACCTGCAAACCGGTGGAGCCAGATTTCTAAAGCATGGTTTGTGCCTCAACCCCTCCCCTTGTCCCAGCTAAAATTAGCTCAGTCTTCAGAAGAGCTTTGCTTCGCATCTGAGTGGATAAATAAAGACCGGGTTTCCAGCGCTGCCTGGCACTTGGCAGTTCTCATGGCCTAAAAGGCAAGGCTCCAGGAATGGGGAACAGGTGAAGGGTTTGCTTGGCCTCTGCCATCAGGCAGCCGTGTCCCTTGGGAGCCTGGGCTGTGACAGGCGAAGTCCTCAGCTGTTGGCTCATCCCAGGAGCTCCAACCCCCCTTGCAAACAGTCCCACAGAGGAGGTGAAACCAGGACACGGGACACGCTTGGTCTTCCAGCTCCCCCTGACGAGTATTCCTGGTCTGTGTCTGCACAGCACGTCTGTGGGGGGGGACGGCTCTGTCTCGGAGGGGTTCACTGGCTGGACTGTGCGTTTACTGGATGTGCGTTCTCTCGCTGTTGTTTCCCCCCCCCTTCCTCCAAGCCCTGGCATGGTGGTGTTCATGGTGTTGTTGCAGAACAGGAATTACTGCAGGAGCACGTAATGGTGCAGCAAATTAGCTGACACGGTCCAGCAGGGCCCGGGAGCGCCGGGGGGATGTGGCAGAGGGAAGCAGTTGGTGTGATGGGAGTGTGTGAGCAGCTCGCAGCGTAGCTGAGCTGGGAAGGCTGGGCAGCACGGGGGACACCAGGCACCTCTGCAGCTCCCCGAGGGCTTTACCAATGCTCCTCAACCCCCCTGGGAGAAGGGGAAATGGGGGGTTAGGGAGGGGCGTGAAGGAGGCCGGTTGCAATGCAGGCACAAAACCTAGCTGGGTGGGGAAATCTGGTACTGAGTTTGCTGCTTATTCGGGTGACTTGTGAAAGAGCCAGAGAAAAGAGACATATCTGTGTCTGGTGCTAACGGGAGACTTACTGAGGTGGTAGCTGGGGAACGGCTCTGATCAACACAGGAGAAAAGCAGGTTTCCTCTGGCGAGGGGCAGTGGGGTCCTGGTGTGGGATGGCTGCTTCCCCTGCTTGGATGGCCCAGCCGAGCTCACTCTGGGTAGGCAGTGAGGGGAGAGGGAGGCCTGTAGGAGAAGGCATAAAAGGTGATAGAAGGTGATGAAAGCAGGATTTTCTCCTCCCCAGCTGAACCGGCTCCCCTGGCATTTCAGTGCAAACCTGCCCATGCAGGGAGTGGGCCGGGCTCTTCCACCCTCTCTCCCTCCTGCTTTGCTGGTTCTGGCTCTGTAGGAGCAAACTGGGGACCTGGGGTCTTGGTGCTGTGCAGCAAGGAGGCTGTTCCTGGCTAACTGGAGTTACACCAGGGGGAAAAGCTCTCCAGGAGCTGTGTCTGGCTCTCCCAGAGACCCAGTTACCTGCCCAGGAGCAGGGGCGGGCTCTGGGAGAGGAGGACAGGCAGCTCAGCAGGAGCAGCCGGCTGCTCCATCCCGTCCTCAGGTGGTGACAGCCCAGCTGAGCTGGGAGCCCTGCTCACCTCTGTCTGTGATCTGGGGATTTTTGAGCACTCTCCCAGAAGGCTGCAGGATCCTGGTGCTTCTCTGTGGGCAGGGGTGACCTGAAGACAAGCTGCGGAGGAAAGAGGTGCTGCAGGCTCTGGCTCTCCAGCACGCCCCAGCGAGAGCCCGACAAGGCCACATTGCCTCAGGAGCATGTGGGAGATTAATGCTGGATGCTCTCCCCTCCATGGGCTGCTGGATTTGGATGCAGCCTCTTTATTTCGTGGCGACTGAGGGGAGAGGCTCAGGGAGGGCAGCTGAGTGTGGACGTGGGGGGCTGGATCGGACAGAGGAGTGAGGTGCCCGGGGGATGCAGGGTACATGGGAGACCCTGAAGTGTTGATCTTGTCTTTCTAAATCCTTTCTCCTCTGTGCAGATGTTTCCCACTGGGCTCTGGCTCTAGGATGTTGGAGAACCGAGAGGAAGTAAGACCCTTTCTGATGTGGGTTTTGTCTGTTCCTGGCTGGGGTTTGGCAGTGCTGGAGCGGGTGGTCTTGGCTGAGCGCTGTGTCGAGGGGTGGGAGGTGCTGAACGCTGGGCAGGGTCTGTGGGGCAGAGCTGAGGGGCAGGTGGTGACCGGGATGGGAAAGGCCGGAGGTGTCGGTGCTGCCCCTGGGGCAGGATGGCTGGACAAGCTGGTGGGGTTGTGGGTACCTGTCCCTGGGAGCCCCTCTGAGCCCTGTGAAGGGGGTGATGCTGGCGTGGGGCGGCGAGCACCATCTCCCCATGCTCAGGCAGCGTTTGTGCCGTAGGAGCTGACAACGGTGCGTGTTCAGGACCCCCGGGTGCAGAACGAAGGCTCCTGGAACTCCTATGTGGATTATAAAATCTTCCTCCATGTGAGTTGTGGCTGGGGGAGAGGGGTGAGCCACAGAGCTCGGTCGTGCCATATGTGAGGCTCGTGAGTGGAGTTGTCCAGCCGTGCCTGGCTGTGCTGAGCAGGGATGGCAGGAGCCATGAAGGGGGAACCCTCAGCAGCCCACCCCTCCTCCTGCGCTGCCTCCCTGCAGGTCTGAGACCCAGCTTCTCCCCTGGAACCTGCTGAGGTTTTCTAGGCACTTTCAGCTCCCCCAGTGCTCCCAAAGCTCAGTGCTTCAAGGGGGTCCCTTAGTTGCTGAACTTGGGGGGTCTGTGCGGGTGAGATCCTGCCCGCCTCTGCCTGGCTGCCCCTCAATCACATCAATTATTTCCATGGTGGTGTTTTATTTTTTGCAGACCAACAGCAAGGCCTTTACTGCCAAGACCTCATGTGTGCGGCGCCGGTACCGTGAATTTGTGTGGCTGAGGAGGCAGCTCCAGAAGAATGCTGGCTTGGTGTAAGCATGCCTTGTTCTCCCTCCTTTCCCCCTCCTGCACCTAGACACTGTTTTCCATTGCCCTGGGAGACCCATGTGAACTCAGAACAGATGCGGGTAGAAACCCCAGACACGAACACGGAATACCTGAGCTCCTGGGATCCAGCTCTGCACAAAGCAGGGTCCTGGCTGCTGCTGCCACAGTGCCCCCTGTGTCTCCTTGCTCTGGCGCTGGGGTGATATGACCCTGAACCTCTGCTCTGTGCCTGCAGGCCTGTCCCAGAGCTGCCCGGGAAATCCACCTTCTTCGTGGGCAGCACAGATGAGTTCGTCGAGAAGCGGAGACAGGGGCTGCAGCAGTTCCTGGAGAAGTGAGTAGAGCATTTGTGAGGGCTGGATGGAGGGAGAGGATACACTGCTCCAGTCTGGCTTAGAAGATGCTGGCAGTGGAGCTATTGGTGGTCGCCCTGGTGGTGTGGGGCACGAGCTGTTGGTGGGGCAGACCTCACTCGCCCTCCTCTCTCTGTGCACAGGGTTGTGCAGAATGTGGTCCTCCTCTCCGACAGCCGGCTGCACCTCTTCCTGCAGAGCCAGCTCTCGGTACCCGAGATAGAGGCGTGCGTGCAAGGCCAGGGCTCGCAGACAGTGACGGAAGCCATCCTGCACTACGCCATGTCCAACTGTGGATGGGTGCAGGAGGAAGAGAGCCGCCCTGCGCTGCTGCCAGGAGGGGACCTGCACGGCAGGTAACACAGGAAGGGAAGGACCAGCCCGGGGGTGCCACCAGCGGGGCAGTCCCCAGCTCCCCGGCTGTGCCTGGAGCTACTTGCTGCTGGCTGGAGCAGGCCCTGGCTATCGGCAGCGCTTTGAGGGAGCTGGTGATTTGCTGTCTGCACCTCCCCTTGTCAGTGCTTGCAGCTGCAGGCCTGGCTACAGCCTGATATGAAATGGTTGGTGCCTGTGCAAGGGACTTTCACTGGTAGCAAACAGCCTCTGCTGTGAAATAAGAGGAGCTGCCAGGCTTTCTCGAGACCCCTGAATGGTTTTGCATATCCTTGCTACAGTCATTTGAGGGAATGAAGTTGAGCATGTTCCCCAGCCCTGCACACCCGATGGGTGGGATTCCTGGGGGTCAGATGATCGGAGCTGGACATCTTGGGCTGTCACCAGCAGACTCCTGTACTGTCTCCAGGCTGCCTGGGAGGGCGACCTGTCCTGGGCCTGGCCACAGCTTAGCAGAAAAGAGCTCGAGTCTCTCAGAAGAACTTAAGCTGAGATTTACAAAGGTCTTTGTCTGCCTTCCTCCTTTTATCTCTGGGGAGTGAGGAGCCTTTGGAGGCTTTCAAAGTACAGGCTTTCTGTGTGTCTTGCCATTGTCCTTGCAGCCTGAGTAGGTTCTGCAATTCCTCATGGTTATCAGAGCTTCAGAGTGCTTGCTGCATGCTGGGGAATTAATTGGGCATCTCCCTGTGGGGTGCCTGCCCCCCCTGCAGCCAGTCCAGTGTTGTCTGCACCTGGGGAGGCAGCTGACCTGGTGGGAGAGGGGGGCATCCTCAATTTGCCACTGCTGCAGCTCCCTGCAAGGAGCTGAACAAGCACAGACACCACCTGCGTGTTTCGAGTCCTGTGGCAGGCACGGGGCCTCTGGTCCTGCTTGCTGGCAGCCACCGTGCCTGGCAGAGAGGCTCTGGGTCCCCCTGCCCCTCCAATGAGGCATTTACCTGCTGAGCAGGAGGCTCTCTGGCCTTCTGCACCACCCGGTGCCCGTGTTTCTTCATCTCTGTTTTCAAATAGTAGGAAGAAAGGTGTCGACTCCAGCGAGAGACCTGTTTTTAAATTGAGCCCTTCTGGTTTAAGGAAGGGGTTTGAGGGAGTGCAGCCCCCCAGGCTAATGGGTAGAGTGGCTTTGTGCGTCCCTCAGCTGCCAGCACCGTCTGCCTCTCGCTGGTGGAGTCTCCCCCCCCCCTTTTCTGCTCTGGGCTTGAGTGCAGGGGTGAGCGGCTGCTGCTGTGGCTGAGCTGGCTGGAAGCCGCGGGCTGTGGTGGGGCTGCGCGGAGGGGAAGCAGCTGCCGCTGCGCAGAAGGGCTTGCGCCAGGGAGGCAGTGGTTGGCGTGGAGACGCGCAGGCACCTCGGGCCCTGCATCTTCCTCGCATCCCTTCTCCGCTCTGACATGTTCTCTCTTCCCAGCTGTGCTGGCCTGGGAAGCCCACAGGGTCCGAGCTGCCTAGAGACCTTCCCGCACTGGAGCGACTTCGGCATGGACGACACGCACTCGGACAGTCCGGATGAGCCAGCTGAGCCCTTGGGCGGACGGCGTGAGATGCAGTAAACTGCTCTAGTGACCTTGTCTGCCTTCGCCGGGACCTGCAGCCCTCGCTGGAAGAGGGACTGCTGCTGAGCCAGAGGGACGTCCAGGCTGGTGGGACTGGGGCTGCACTGGGAACGTGGCCTTGTCCTGGTCTCTGCGGTGTCTGGGGTTCATGTGCTCTCTCCCTGCTGACTCTCGACTGTCCTTGACATCCCAGGCAGTGTGTTCGTATCGCTCTTCTCTTTGGAGAAGAGATCTAGTGGTTAGTGAAACCTGTGTTTGTTGTTCCCATGGCCTTTGCTCTCCGACTGGAGCAGTAGCAGGGCTTCATTAGGTGGCAGTGCCAGCGGGCTCTTGGCGTGTCCCTGGCCCAGGGCAGGGTGGGATCCACTGGCTCACATCCAGCATGCCGGAGGAAGGCTTTCCTTGGTGGAGCTGCAGGCTGGGAGCAGGGGCTGGCTGCTGCCCAGCGGGTCTCTTAGGTTTAATCCCCTGTGTTCCCCTCTGTGCTGCAGGCAGGGGAGGCTGCCTTTCCCCAGTAACGGCCATGCTGTGTGGCTCCTGGGGAGGGTGGTCTCAGCTGTGCAGAGCTGGAGCCCACCCGTGGGGTGCAGATACCACATCCACACCTGGGGCCTCCTGGCACAGCTCACCCTGCAGGCTGCCTGCAGCTGGGACAAATGGAGATGAGCTTCCCCCTGGGAGCATGGGGCAGGGGAACAAGTCGGTGGGGAGGTGGAAGGGGGGCGGTTTGTCCCCCCTGCCCTTTTCAGGGGCTGCTCCTTCCTTGCACCCTGATTGCCATGCCCGGGGGGGATGGGGGGCCCTCAGCCAGGATCTAGTTTGCTCAGAAAGAAGGAGCACGTAGCTGCCTTGGAGTTGGTGTCCAGCAGCACTTGGGCTCTGACTACTCTTGATGCCTCTCCCCGTGCTCTCCTGCACCTTTTCCTCCCACCCTCAGCACTGGTGAAAGCAGAGCTGACGTGCTCTGACTTGAAATAAAAATGAAGTAGAAGAGACTTACTGGTTGCTGGCAATCTCTGTCCTCGCTGCGTGGGCGGAGGGAGCTGAGCCGAGGCCGAGCTAATTGCAGATAGATGTCTTTAGGGAAAAGAGGGGGGGGTTACTGCACCTCTCGCCGTGGGGCTAGAGCTGCTGAAACCATCGGGGCTGACCTTGCCCCGGGTGGCAGAGGGGTCCCTGGGGCCAGCATGGGTGATGGCAGGGGACAGGCAGGGCTTGAGGGGTCCCACCCTGGCCCCGAAGCGAGTTTTGCAGTGCTGGGCCTGGCTGTGGGGGGTCTTGGCCCCACGCAGGGGCCAGGACACATCGGGGAGGGGGAGGGAGGGTTGGAAACCCGGCGAGGCGCAGCCGAAATGTCAGGAGAAGTTCATTGCGAAGGCTGGCAGCTGCCGGTGCGCCGGAGCGCCGCTGCCATTGGCTGCCCCCCCTCATGCATATTCATGTATATTCATGAGTGTGCGGCTCCAAATGGCGCAGCTGTGAGGCCAGCTGTGCCCACGGACCCGCTCCTGCGCCCACGCGTACCCTCGCCCACACGTCGCCTTTGCCTGTGCGCAGCCTCATGCAGGCAACGCGCCCCCGGCTCCCTGCGGGCCCCCAGCACGGTTTGCACCGCCAGCTTGGCCTGGCACAACCACGTCCTTCCTGCGATGCCTTGCCGGGAGCTGGTCGGCCCGGGGGCCTCCCTCCCAAGGCGGATTTGGAAAGGGCAGCCCGTGGGGTTCAGCCATGCCCGTGGGGCTGCTGGGGCCAGGGCTCCATCCCCTCTCCTGGCTCCTTGCAGGGCCCTGCGGTGCCCATCCTTCCCCCTCGGGGCTGCAGCCCCGCTGCTGGCTGCATTTCAGAGCCAGGCGGAAATTATTTTTAGTGGTGTTGATCAGCTTTGCAAAGCTGTCGGGAAAACAGTGACTCAGAGGCAGACCTGGCCGTGGCAGCGGTGGGGGGGGGGAAGAGGCCCTGCTCCTGCTCAGAGGGAGCCCAGTATCGGTGCCCCAGGGCTGCTGCAGAGGTGGGGCCAATGGTCCCGGGGTGGGGGTGTGTGTGTGTGTGACAGTCCCCTCCACCACACATGGGGCTGGCTCAGCCCCTCGGTGGCCTGGTGGCTGCAGGTGAGTGCTGTGCTGGGGTTACGGCAGCTGGCGAGCATTGCCCACAGCAACCCCGTCACCGGTGCGGGGTCAGGGACACGGTGGGCACGCAGAGCCGCTCAGGGTAACCTTCCCCACCCGGAGCAGGCAAGGACAGCTCGGCCCCCTCCCCGCGCCCTCGCAGCCTGGCACGTCTCTCTCCTCCTCACCGCCTGCCAGAAAAACAGCCTCGCTGCTTGGAAGCGGGCCAGGCTCTCCAGACAGCGCATCCTCACCCCCCCGGCAAGGCTGTCTCTCAAGTCTGTGCAAACAAACCGTGGTGCTTCCCCCCTGCCACCACGCAGCGTGTCCCCCTGCTCCTGCTCTGACCTGGGGCTGGAGCAGCCCGGGCTCAGCCAAAGCATCCTGCTCCCACCCACCTCTCCTGTCCCGGCTCCCCAGCCCCTCCTCAAGCACAGCACGAAGGATTTGGCTCTGGCGTCCTGGGCAGGTCAGGGGACCCGGGGCAGGATCAGGCCTCCCAACGCTCAAGCATTGGGGTGCAAACAGCCAGGCCATCTCCTAGAGGCAGGGCTGGGGCAGTCCTAAGCCCTGGTCCTTTTTGCACCGGAGCATCCGCCTGGGCAAGAGCATCAGTTCCTCCCTGCCAGGATCCCAGAGGGCTGCCAGGAATGATGATGGAGAGGTGGATACCAGCCCTGCAGCTGCCTCACAAATGAATTGGTCCAGGGCAAGATGCTCACAGATGGGGAAATGGAGACAGGGGAGGGCTGAGCATCGTGCAGAGGGGAGCGTTTCTCAATCCAGGTACACAGATCCCTGCTGGCCTGGCATGGGCTCCCAGGGCTGCTCAGGGTCACCCATGCTGTGGAGAGCCGGGACTCGAAGAACAGGTTGGGAACACCAGAGGGATCTGAGACGAGCTTGTGCCCTGCCAAGCTGAGCGCTGGGCATCCCAAACCCTTCCCACACATCAAAGATGCCCGGCAAGGAGCTGCCTTCACCATGTGTGGGAGCCTGGCGAGGCAGCAGGAGCTGGGATGGGTTTGGCTGCAGCCCCGCAGCCCCCTCCATGCCTCCGGGGTCCCCCGGGACCCCCCGTTTGTGCCTGGCTTCCAAACATCTGCACAGCTGTGCTTTGGAGCGGCCGTTTGGCCGATGCCTGGGCTCACCCCGCAGGCGATGCTCCTGTTTCAGCACCAAGCAGCCCAGGTGCTGCTGGACAGGGGCTGGTGGGTGCCGGGGGGCTGCTCCGGTGCAGCCCAGGGGGTTTGGGCTCCCTCCCAAGGAAGGCTGCAGTCAGCAGGTACTTACCACCATCTAGTGGCCCTTCAGCCAAGTGCGGGAGGAGGAGGAGGGTTAAACCTCAGTCGTAGGCTGGGCTGGGCCTGGACCAGAGGGCTCTGGGGATGCTCAGAGCTGGGGCTGGAGGTGAAGGGCCCCTTTCTGCACCCAGCTCCAGCTCCAGACCCGCAACGAAGCCTGGAGCAGCCAAAGATGGAGAGGAAAATGGCTTTTATTGTGGGCTGCCAGCCCCATGCGCACCCGCCATGCCCCGGTGGCATCACAGCGGGTACCACGGGGCCGAGCAGGACTCCAGGGCACCGTGCGTGGGCTGGGTGGTGGGATGTGGGTCTCTTCATGCAGCCGCAGGAGGCTGGGGCTGGTGGTGGGGACAGTGCAGTTGGTTTCTCAGCATGGCCAGGGAGAGAAGCACCTGGATTCTGGGAGGGGAAGAGACACAGGTGACGGTGGGGAAGGGGACACTGAGATGCAGGCTGGGACTGACACAGTGATGGTGACGTGCGGGCACAGAGGGGATAAGGAGGGTGGGAGATCTCTGGGCAAATGTGGAGGTCTCGCTGCCCTAGGCGGGTGTCAGGGCTCTGCCTCTAGCTTGGCTGCAGACCCTCTCCACTTTCCCAGCCCTGACCTGTGCCTCAGTTTTCCCCTCTGCCAAATGCCTCCATAGCAGGTTTTGTTTGGAGAAAAACTCTGCAGATGCAGTGCTTGGTGTCAGTGTTGGTGTCACAGCTGGTGACACACAGCCCTCTGGGTCCGATGGAGGGGCTGCTGTGCCTTTAGCAGGTTTCTCTCATGGAGCTTGAGGGACTTGAAATCCAGGAGGGACACTGGGCAGGGTGGCACTGTCCCTGAACTGCAACTGTGGCTCCCAGTCTTGCCTGCTCCCACGTAAAACAGAGACCAGGAGATGGAGCCAAAGACAGTCCTCAAGGCTCGGCCCCCCGGAGACACTGGGGCCCCCCAGGAATGGAGCCGCCTCCCCAACACCCGCCTCCACGCCCCATCCCTGGCGAGTGCACCCGGGGTGCCGCCTCTCACCTGGGTCCTCATCGCTCCTCCAGGTCGTAGGCAGCCACCAGGTAATCCTTGGGGACGATCCCGACCACGCTGTTGAGCTCCCCGACCCACCAGCCGTACACGTCGTACTCCTGGGGAGACACAGCCGGAGGGACACGGGGGTAGTGCAGCGACCGGGGGCATGGCTCAGGTCCCTTCCTTCAGTATCCGGACCTACAGAGAGCAGCCCCCAGGCTCCCTCCAGAAAATAACCCAGTCCCACCCCTCTCCCTTGTAAATCCTTCGCTGTCCTTCCTAACCCCCCCCTCCTGCCTTCTGCCCCGCTCTCCCCCTTCACCCTGGCTCGTGCGGGGCACGGCTTGGGGCTTGCTTGGAAACTCTGGATTTAATTCACCCCTGATATTTGGGGGTATTTCAGTTACAGATGGCAACCCTCGGGATGCCCCAGGCCCCGGCCTGGAGCTCTGTGAGGCCTCTCCAGGTGGGTCATGCCTGGGTAACCCGTCCCCTCCCCAGATTTACTTGTGATTTTCCCCTGACGGCAGATATCGGAGCAAATAATAACAGAGGAAACTTCCCCCCAGTGCGTGTGTGAGGAGGAGTTGGCACACACGGCCTGAAGAAGTTTGCCATTGAAATAGGAGGGTTTTTTTTTTTTAAAGATGTTAAAAGTGATGTGCACAGCAGCATATCCCCTGTCCCACGGGAGCTCTGCCCCCACCCCTGGTTGGTGCATTTAATGGGTCCCCGATCTCATCCCTGCTTCCCAACAGGGAAAGGGCTCTGGAGAGGGGCTGCCACCAGACACAGACATCTCTCCCCGTGCTTCCAGCTCTGCCGCTGGTGCTGCCCTCGCTGGGGCCAGGAAGGGATCCCAGGAGCCCCGGCGCTCCCCGGGCTGGGATCCCGATGCTCCGTGGGGACCCGCACCCCAGCAAACAGCACTGAGCCAAGACCCCGCAGTGCTGCTGGAAAGGGAGGAGCAGGGAGGGATGGGGGCTGCATCCCCCGGTCCTCACCAGCCAGGGAGGAAAAATCCTGCTGCAAAACCAGAAGGAAAAATGTGGGTCTATTTGCTGCAGCCTGGAGCCTGGTGGGCAGAGGGGCTGAGCTGCACCCCAGGCGTGATGGGGAGCCCCCAGCCTCTGCTTGCCCCCCCACCAGCTCTGCCCTAGCTTGAACACTATGAGGTATTTTAAAATAATTTCTGCGTTGATGAATTGCCGGGTAGTCCGCGATTGCTCATAATCAAAGGGAGGAAAATGCAAATGAGAGCCAGCCGAGAACTCGCGGCACTGAGCGTTTATTTCACTGCGCAGTGCCAAAAAGAATTAAAACAACATTAAACTCCCAGCAATAATGTTTAAGTCCTCGTTTCCAAGTGCCAAATTGCACCACTCTGGATCATACAGATGTTCGTTAATTATGCTAATTTTTATTAAACTATTAAAACGAGGAGTGCACTGGCACAGCAAGGCAGAGCCCAGTGCAGGGTGAACTCTGCTCTCGTCTGGAGGTGCTAATTTACATCTCGCTAACGTGCTGATGCCTGATACCGGGGTTTGGAGGGGGGC